TGTCTCTACTAAAAATATAAAAATTACCTGGGCACGTGCCTGTAATTCCAGCTACTCGGGAGGCTGAGACAGGAGAATCGCTTGAACCTGGGAGGTGGAGGTTGCGGTGAGCTGAGATGGCACCAGTGCACTCCAGCCTGGGTGACAGAACAAGACTCTGTCTCAAAAAAAAAAGAAAGAAAGAAAGAAAAGAAAAAGCAAGAAAACAGGCCACAGGGTGGCAGCCGGCCTCACCTAACCTGTGGTCATCTGGTTCATTCAGTTGGTGGCCTTTACGCCTGAGTTCTTGACTCAAAGCCATTATGCAAACTGGGATTGCCACATTACCATTAATTTTACCTTGTATTTCCTCTTTTTAAACTTTGCGTTTATTGATCGTTAAATTTCAGTGAAGTGCATCTCCTGGCCCAGCACGTTGAGATGACACAGCAGGAGACTCAAAGCATACAAGACTGACTCAGCAACAGGCCCCAGATGGACTGAGCCCCTGAACCACGCCCTCCAGGCCTCCCTTATCGCTCGGCTGTGGCTAAAACTACAGTGTCTGAAGGGCTTTGACATTGACTTCTAGACACCACCCAGTGTGGGGCAAGACCAGCAATCCGGACATCAAAACCCAAGTACGGGGTGGGGGGCGGTGGCTCACGCCTGTAGTCCCAGCACTTTGGGAGGCTGAGGCAGGAGGATCTTTTGAGGCCAGGAGTTCACGACCAGCCTGGGCAATATAGTGAGACCCCTGCCTCTGCAAAAAGAAAACCTTAAAAATTAGCTGGGTGTGGCGGTGCACACCTGGAGTCCTAGCTCCTGCGAGACAGGTGGGGACGGTTGCTGGAGCCTGGGAGGTGGAGCACGCAGTAAGCCGTGATTCACACCACTGCACTCCAGGCTGGACAACAGAGTGCCCTGTCTCAAAAACAAGAAAGAAAGAAAGGAAAGAAAGAAAAGAAAAAAAAGAGAAAGAGAGAAAGAAAAAAAAAGAAAAGAAAAGAAAAGAAGGAAAGAAAGAGAAAGAAAGAAAGAAAGAAATTGGCCAGGCGCAGTGACGCACACCTGCAATCCCAACATTTTGGGAGGCCAAGGCAGGAGGATCCCTTGAGCCCAGGAGTTTAAGACCAGCCTGGGCAACATAGGGAGACTCCATCTTTATTTTATTTTATTAAATTTAAAAATATTTTTAAAAGGGGGAAATAGGGAAGTTGTCAGAATCAGAATGGAGTTATTAGTGTAAAAAAAAAAAAACACCTGACAGAGCCGGGAAGATTATGACGGCGGGTCCTCAGCCTTGTATGCCTGATAGGAACTACCACGAAAGCTGCAAAAGCCACAGCCCGGCACAGAAACCCTCCTGCAGGGAAGCCTGCCCAGCCCGGGACTGGCATCACCTGCCCATTCATCCTCGCAGCCAAGGATATTCATTTCAAAACAACTGTGTCATCCTCATTTTCCTTTAAAATCCTTTTCATTCCTTTACTTCCCTGAATATACACTAGTTTACTATGGCACACATATTCCCCAAATAAATATCACTTTCCTTTAAAGAGCCTCTTTCTGTTCGATATTTGGGTTTGGAGGTTCTAATTCCATTCTCCAGTACAAGGAGCCCAGGGCCAGGCACGGTGGCTCATGCCTGTAATCCCAGCATTTTGGGAGGCCGAGGCGGGCAGATCACCCAGTCAGAAGTTCAAGACCAGCCTGGCCAACATAATGAAAGCCCATCTCTGCTAAAAATACAAAAATTCTCCAGGTGTAGTGGCACCCTCCTGTAGTCCCAGCTACTTGGGAGGCTGAGGCAGAGGAATTGCTTGAACCTGGGAGACAGAGGTCACAGTGAGCTGAGATCACACCAATGCATTCCAGCCTGGATGACAGAGCAAGATTTCATCTCAAAAAAATAATAACAGCAGGGCGTGGTGGCTCACACCTGTAATCCCAGCATTTTGGGAGGCTGAGGTGGGAGGATCACCTGAGGTCAGGAGTTTGAGACCAACCTGGACAACATGACGAAACCCCATCTCTACTAAAAATACAAAAATTGCCGGGCGTGGTGGCGGGAGCCTGTAATCCCAGCTACTCGGGAGGCTGAGGCGGGAGGATCGCTTGAGTCCCGGAGGAGGAAGTTGCATTGAGCTGAGATCACGCCATTGCACCCCAGGCTGGGCAAGAGTAAAACTCT